AGAGTCAGAGGCTTAAGACTGAACTACCCAGGTGCCCCTCTTTTATATTCTTTTGAAAATTTGTATTAACGTTTTTAAAATTGCTTTAATAATGCTTAAGAAATAAAACATTACTGGGGCGCCTGGGAGGCTCAGTCGTTAAGCGTCTGCCTTCGGCTCAGGTCATGATCACAGGGTCCTGGGATCGAGCCCAGCATCGGGCTCCCTGCTTAGCGGGAAGCCTGCTTCTCCCTCTCCCACTCCCCCTGCTTGTGTTCCCTTTCTCGCTGTGTCTCTGTCTGTCAAATAAATAAATAAAATCTTTAAAAAAAAACTAAAACATTACTGTTCTAAGCTTAATTAAATCCTTTATGTAAATCTTCCCCCATTAGGTTTATTATTCCTATGGATTTCTTTAGTCTTTCCTTGCATACATGTGTCCCTAATCAATATAATGATTTTCCTCTGGGTCCATGTGGGTAACAACTTGTCCCAGCCCTACCTGTTGACTTCTCCCTGCTCTGTAGGACCACCTGTATCATAAATCCAGGAGTTGGGTGTGGTGTGTTCTATGGGTACATTTACCCATCTCTGCACCAATATCACCTATCTTAGTGATAAGAGTTTCATGAAAGGTCTAATACCTGGTCGTCCAGTCCCCCACTCTGATCTGCCTTAAAATTGCAGAGGTTTAATCTGCAACTGCCATTCCTGGTTTATAATGATGCTTAATGAATTTGTTGAATAAATAACAAATCCTGTGGGTTTTTTTTTTCCTTAGTATGTCATTTTCAGATTTAGGAGCTTTGCCATTTAATTTCTTTTCAGATAATTTTATATTTAAAAATCAAGCTTCAGAATCAGAATTTATTGACCAGAAACACCATTTAGTGTTTTATAAGATAGGAAGGAGTAAAGCCTCTGGCTAAAGTAAAGAATGTTTTGTGTTTTTTTGCAGTAAATTTGCAGTGGGTTGTCAAGGAAACTTAGCCAGGAGAACTGTTTACTGGTAATAGTGTTTGCTTTGAAGTGTGACTACAAAGTAATGAGGCTTGTTTTTCCAAGTGTCAGTATTATCCGTAGTATTACCTCACATAGTCATACTTTGAATGTGCAAAGTAATAACACTTCCTAGATTACTGATTAATATTTCACATTGATTCAAAGTTAGAAATTAAATTATACTTTATGTTAGGAATTGTCCCTGTAAAGGTCTTTCATTTGGTCTATAACCTAATTGGATGGCCCTAGTCAGCCTTTCAAGCAAATGCTTAGGTTTAGAATGGCTGCATAACACTTTGCCAAGAAGTGGGAGAACTCTAGGAAGAAAGACTACATGTTGTTTATATAACAAATCAGTGAAAGATTAACCCATTTTTCTACTCTTTCTTCTTGAGTTTTCCTTGCAGAGTGGATTGTTATGACTTAAATGCCATTATTAGAGTCTTTGGAAGACTTTTTAAAAAAACTTTTTAACTTAAATTAACAAACATGGTTGTGTTTGGGTTTATTTTTATTTTGATAAGGAATTTTTTGGTAAATTTTTATCTGAATTCTAGCTAGTTAACATATAGTGTAATATTGGTTTCAGTAGAATTTAGTGATTCATCACTTACATATTAACACTCCGTGCCCAGTCACAAGTGTACTCAATAAAGATTTTTTAAATTTATTTTTTATTTTTTTATTATTTTTTATAAGGAATTTTTTTTTTAAATGTAAGATTTGCCACAATTATCACGAGATGGGAGAAGGAGTGTGGCAATGATCCCCTTTTCTTCTATTTCATCTCTATAATTTAATACTTTATAAAACTCAGGATAACTTTTTGGAAGGCCACTCCCCTGGAGTGTAGACTCTGATGTAGAAAGTAGTAGCACTGACTCCCAAATTTAGCTTTTAAAAATTTACTGTGATCTTAATACCAGTTTTATTTTATTGAGGTGAAGTTAACATAACATGACATTAACCATTTAGAAGTGAGTAAGTCAGTGGCATTTAGTACCACTAATTCAGTGGCATTTAGCAACCTTTATACAGTTTCAAAACACTTGGATCACTCCCAAACAAAATCCTGTACTCTCATTAAGCAGTTACTCTCCAATCTTCCCTTCTCCCAGTCCCTGGCAACCAGCAGTTTGCTTTCTATCTCTTTCACATCAGTAGGATCTTACAATATGTGACTTTTGGAGTCTGGCTTTCACTTAGCTTCATGTTTTCAAAGTTGATCCACTGTGTAGCATGTATCAGTGCTTCATTCTTTTTATGTGAGGACTCTTCCTGCACATGTGTATGCCATGTTAGCCATTCATTCATTGATGGACATTTAAGTTGTTCCTGTGCTCTGGCTACAGTGAATAATACTTTTGTGAACATTTATGTATATAAGTATTTGAGCACCTGTTTTCAGTTCTTTAGAGTATATACCTAGGAGTGAGATTGTTAAGTCAGCTGCTAATTTTTTTGAGAGAGAGAGCAAGGGTGGGGTTGCAGAGTGAGAGGGAGAGAGAACCTCAAGCAGACTCCCCACTGAGCGCAGAGCCTGATGTAGGGCTCAGTCTCACTACCGGGAGATCATGACCTGAGCCAAAATCAAGAGTTGAGGAGCGCCTGGGTGGCTCAGTCATTAAGCGTCTGCCTTCGGCTCAGGTCATGATCCTGGGGTCCTGGGATCGAGCCCCGCATTGGGCTCCCTGCTCGGCGGGAAGCCTTCTTCTCCCTCTCCCCCTTCCCCTGCTTGTGTTCCTGCTCTCGCTGTCTCTCTCTCTCTGTCAAATAAAAAAATAAAATAAAAAAATAGAAAGTGTCTTTCCTTTAAAAAAAAAAATCGAGAGCTGGATGCTTAACTGACTGAGCCACCCAGGTGCCCCTTATGGTAGTTTTTTATTTAACTTTTGAGGAACTGCAAACTTTCCACAGCATCTGAACTATTTGACATTCTTACCCAATGTTTGAGGGTTCCAGTTTTTCTATATCCTTGCCAGTTCTTGTTATTTTAAAATTATAGCCATTCTTGTGGGTGTAAAGTGGTATCTCATGCCAGTTTTACTTTGCACTTTCCTGGTGACTAATGATGTTGAGCATCTTTTCATGTGCTCCTTGGCTATTTGTAGATCTTCTTTGGAGAAATGCTGCTTGTCTTTTTGTTGTAAGATTTTTTATATTTTTATGTATTCATATTTTGGACAGCATACCCTTATCAGATAGATGATTTGCAAATATTTCCTCCCATTTGGTAAGTCGTTTTTTCACATTCTTGATCGTGTCCTTTGATGCACAGATTTTAATTTTGATGAAGCTTTTGGTGTCATGTCTAAGAACTCCGCATATCTTACCAAAGTCAAGATCATGAGGATTTATTGCTTTTTATTTATCTTTTATTTTTCAAATTATTTTTGTAAGTAAACTCTACCCCCAGAGTGAGGCTCAAACTCATGACCCCAAGATCAAGAGTCACATGCTCTACCAACTGAGCCAGCCGGGCACCTCAGATTTATTGCCGTTTTTAGTTTTAGCTCTTACATCTAGATCGTTGGTCCATTTGGAATTCATTTTTGTATGTGGTATGAGGTGGGAATACAATGAGGACTCTTATTTTAAAAACAAAATTTCATAGAACCTTCCACATTATACTTTTAATATCCCTTATATTTACACACCACCCCAAAATTCCCTGTGGGTTTCATATATTATTTTAAATTATTCTGAATTGTGCAAAGCAGAACCTACATACACTTAAAAAATAGTACTTATAAATATAAAGATATTATTTTCTCCATCCACGGACTATATATTGGTGACTGTATATGGATTCATGGATTTCCTTCTTAACTCCATGGTGCCCACTGAGTCAGCAGATCACAGATTTTGTAGGGGAGCATCAAGAGACTCTGTCATGACATGAAGAAAAGGGATTAAGGATGAAGAAAAAGGTAGAATTTCCAAGAGCCCATATACTTGCAGAAACCTCAAGGGAGAGATGGGAGAGATGGGAGAGATGGGAGAGGACTGGAAGGTAGGTCACCGGAAGGCAGTGGTGGAATCTGTAGGGGCTACAGAGGACATAGCATTTTCTTCCAGGCAACAAGGATGACTGCAGAGTAGAAGTGAAGTGCCCAGGGGGAATACGTTTGGAATAGGGACGGAGGCTCAAAAGAGCTCGTCAGAAAGCAATGGTGTAAGGAGCTGTAGAGGATTCTTTTCATTTTGGAAGTAATGCCAACGTAATTCTACCTCCAAAGGAGGAGTCACCTAACTGTTTAGCATCTGCCCTAGAGAGGGGTAAGGAAAAGGAGCTGGAGACATTCTAGGATTTTATTTCAGCCATAACTAGAATGCTGGTTAAATTTGCATTAGTAAACTGTAGTCTGTATCAGGATTTTGTGGGTGTGTTTGGTTGGTTGTCTGCTCATTTCTTAATAAAACTTCCTAGTAAAAAAAATTCTGGTTTTATCTCAGCTGAAAGCATGATGAAATTTTCCAACTTTACATGTAGATGAGGGAGTTGGGTTCTCAGTGCGCACTTAGAACTTCGGGTGGTGCATTGTATTGGCTTGTGGCCATTGGATGGACCAGGAGCTGGAACACATGGGAGTGACAACCTGGGAGGGAAGGTGTTGGGACTATGGTGCCAACCAGGGCTAAGGATTTCTTTGCTTCTGGCCAGCCCTTCACAGTGCTCAGGCTTATCAGTACTCTTCCCGCCGCCCCCCCCCCACCTTGTCACCTCTGTGTTCAAAGATCTTTAGGGAAAGGAACAAAGGAGAGGATAGATAGCACAAGTGCCTGAGAGCCTGAAGGAAGGTAGAGGTAATGGCCACTGGTTCACATGTCCTTCTGCTTTTACAAGGTGGATTGTCTACTCTTTCCACTAGAAACGAAAGCTACCCTACAAGTGACCTGGAGAGGTATAAACAAAAAGTAGGTCTTGGGTGCTTCTACTTTGTGTTGTTTAGAGTCTGAGTTTGTACAAATGTTTCTTTTTTCTTTTTAACTGTCCATGTGACCTCTGTGACTTTCAGGTGTTACTGGTGAGCAGTAGTCGCCATCCAGACCGCTGGATTGTTCCTGGGGGAGGCATGGAGCCCGAGGAGGAGCCGAGTGTGGCAGCAGCCCGTGAAGTCTGTGAGGAGGTATGCGCTCAGAAAGAAGGGCATGGTAGGACCTTGTAATCATGAATCTGTCATGTCTGCGGAGTTCTTTAATTCATCACCACTCACTGAATAAACATACTCATGATCACAGAAAGAAGGCATTTAACGGTTACCATGTGCTTCCTTGATTAAAGGGTGATTGGGTTGTGACATGATGATGTGTGTCGGACACTCTGTGCAGAGAGAAGGCTCCAGTAGTGACTGTATCTAATTATATCAGACAGTCTTCGGTGATTTCCCATGGAGCTCTTTCAGCATTGCCTCTGTTATCTGGGATAGAAGATCAAGAACAAACAGTTCATCAGCCCTAAGAAATAAGAGGGACAGGCAGTGTTGATAGAAATGGCTCTTTCTCATTAATGAGGAGGAGGAGGAGGAGGCCATTGTTCTCCTCTGCTTCCTGGGTCCTGGCCATAGAACAGTGGCTGAAGCAGCAGTTCTGTTATTAATAGTGCCGTTAGAGAGATAATAGTATCTTCTTTGTTATTAGTCACACACGATATGCAGCATTTATGTACTGAGTTCCTGGGCCATGCCCAGTATATCTTATTAGATCCTCTAGAATAAGTAGTCAGAAGTAAAGTCTGGGACCCTTCGTTCCCTTACTTCAAGGGCTTACGGTTTGATTGGGGAAACTGAGAAACACATTGCAGTTCAAGACCAGGAGGAAGGGATAACATTCCTCCAGAGCCTGTTGTGGCGACACTGTGCCGTGCTCTGCTTATGTTATTTTATTTCACTGAAGACTCTTGACGAGGTGGTGTAAGTTTTATCACCCCCATTTACTTGCCCTGGCCACATGGCTAGTGCTTTTCTTTATTCCAGAGGGAATTTAAAACTGATTCTAAGGACATATAAAATAGCACTAAGAACAAGTCTAAATCCTACGTTTCTTTTGGGTTCAGCCCTTGGCAGAAGTCCTCTGAAACTAATCTTACCCTTGGAATACTTAAGGAATTCTTCCTTCACTCTGAAGTCCTACGGACTTGTGTTGGCTCATATCCCTGTCGTTTTATCATATATCTGGTGTCCATAACTAGGCTATAATCTCTGAGAGCAAAAAGTGTGTTTTGTAGTTTAAATCCTCCCTGTGTGTGCCCACTACACAGCTAGGTGAATGGAAAGTAATACATGCTTCTGTGACAGGTGGAGCAATGGATGGTACAGTAAAAGTTCTGAAGAGATGCCCTTAATGGAAATGATCTGAGCGTAGGGAGCGATCTTGTCAGAGAAGATGTGACAGGCATTCTCACATAGTAAGAATTGGTGTCCTCCTTTCTTATTAGACCCGAGGAGTGCGGTGGCCTGGAGGGGCAGATGTGATTCTGCACTCTGCCTTCCTAGGCCTGAGCGCACCAGAATCTTTGCCTGCTCCTTTCTGGAGGCTTGACTATTCATGTAAGTGTGGCAGGGTCAATTGGTGGACCTAAGCTGCGTAACTTTAATTCAGATCAGTTGACTCCTGTAGGATCTAAGGCACCTAAAGCAAAAGTGATGTTTGAAAGAGCTTCCGTGGCAGTTGTAGATTCAGAAAGGTGGTCGGAAGACCTGAAATACAGTGATGGTTCTAGAATAAAGAGAAAGAGAAAAGTTCAGAGACTTTGTGCAAAACTTGCTACTTGGTTTTAGGAGTTGGGGCCAATCTGACTGCCGTACCTTTGTGGAGCACATGGATTTGGCCTCTGTCTCCGGAGAGCTTATATCAGTTGCCGTTACTGTTGCTGGATTCTCAGTTATTACGGTTGACTCATCCGTGGGTTATACACGTGCAGCGAAGATGGAGAGAACTAGGTGACTGGAGTAGAAATGCAGTGAGGGGCAGGAAAGGGTGTCGAGCACCCTCTTAACCCTTTGTTTCCTGGAAGTGCTGCGTGGCCCTTCAGTCCGGTGAGAGGGAGGCTGCACTGGGGGTGGGGCAGAGGGTAGTGACAGCACAGACAACAGATCCTGTCCTCAGATGTTCAGGATCCCTGTTCCCTCCTGTCCACATGGGGTCCCGTGCTTGAAATTAGACCATGCTCGACTCTGAGGAAGTCAGAGGAGAGTCATACCACACCCTGTACTTTATTCCAGCATTATTGAAAGGATAAGTGTCTGAGAACTGCTTGCAACTTTAGACTACGGTACCAAACAAATCAAATGTTTGCACAAACAATAAAAATTAGTGAAATGTCATTACAGAAACAAACATTCCAGTGGCTTCTATCAAAATAAAATAGAGGGGACGGTTTTTCCAATTCCACATCCATCAACAGAGTACAAGACTTGGAATCAGAGAGGATGTAATATAATATATATGTTGTTTTTTTTTTTAATTGCCGTTGAAGGGTAGCTTTTGTAAGCAGAAATCGCTATTCCGGGGTTTACTTAGATTTCAAAATGTTACGACTTTTGTAAAGTGCACTTTCAAAAACTTAGTTTTTTTTCATAATGCTTACAGCTCTGATTGCTCTATATATAAACATAGGAGATTTTACTAGTCACTTTTGGATAATACTAGAACAGTTAATTGAAGAGGTTCAGATATTTCAAATTGGATTCATACAGCTAAATAGAAGTGCTTTCTAAAGAACTTCAGTTGTCTGACTTAAAAAATAAAAATCTGATCAAGCTCTTCAACAAAATGTCCTGTGAATATCATATATTAAACTTATAGGCTCCTGGCTGGCTCAGTCAGTGGCTCATGCGACTCTTGATCTCAGGGTTTTGAGTTAAGCCCCACGCTGGGTGTAGAGAGTACTTAAGTAAACAAATATTTAAAAAAAAAAACTTACAAATGAGGTGAGTCTTAGATTTTTTTATTCTTATAATATATGTAAACTTACTAAGATTTTCAACTTAAAAACACAAGTCAGAAAGAAATTATTCAATTATATTTTCAAAACCGAGGTTACAATCTAATAGGTCAAGATTTTTTGTTTTTTGTTTTTTGTTTTTAAGTAATCTCTATGCACAATGTGGGGCTCAAAACTCATGACCCTGAGATCAAGAGTCGCGTGCTCTGCTGACTGAGCCAGCCAGGCGCCCTAGGCCAAATTCTTTTACACATTACAAAATCATAAAATATGTCTGCACTCCTTCTTAACAGAGAAGTATCTTACGATTTTGATTCTCTTAAACATTTCTGTATTTCATTCTAAATATTTCCAGGATTGAAAGACACTTACCCACCAAAGAAACCAGGCCCTCCCTGTTAAGTGAGGCCAAGACTCTTGGGTGGCCTGGTTGGAAATGCTGATCTAGTCCACTGTTGCTCTATCAAGACTCTGTAACTTTAAAAGGCTGGTGGTCGTAGAGTCCACACAGGGCTGGAGTGTGTACCGAGCGAACACTCTGCAGTATCTGGCACACCTGACTAACTTTATCCTTCAGCCTGAAGCTCCTTCGGGCTCCGTCAAGTCTTTGATAGAGGACTCACTGTTTTTCCTGCGTGTTTCCCTTGCGATCTGTACTTCTAGCATCGTGGTGTCTGTCATGCTATGATACTGCTTGATTAATTGTCTTCTGTGCTAGACTTTACACCTGTGTAGTCGGGTACCATCCTTTTTTGCTCATTGTTTAATCCTCAGTGCTTAACACGTAGCAGGTACCTAACAAAATAAACGTTTCAGTTATTGACGGGACTACTAGAGCAGCCCCATAAATACGAGGGAGGCCCTTTTGGGTTGTCAGGACTAAACATACCTGTAGGTCTCTCAGATAAGGAAGAATACGGCAGGGTCACAGCAGCTGTCCAGCCAGGCCACGCAGGACTGGAAACTTGGGTCACAGGGCGCAGGCAGGCCCCGCCCACGGTGGCTGGACTGACAGCAGGAGTGCAGTGTGGCCCCTGTCTTCCACGGTGGATGAGCTGCCTTTCTAATCTCTTCTCAGCCTCCTGGCTTCTGCTCACTGCTTTCTGCATTTTCCCTCCTGAGTGCACCATTTACCTGTCTGCGCATCTCACATGCAGCCTTCCCGGCAGAGATGACCTGACCTGTGGGCGCAGCTGACAGGCGACATTATCAGCTCCTGGCCATTTTGAGGATGTTTGCCTTCACTTTGCTTCGGTTGCTGATCTCTTAGTTCTCTTGCTGTGCTCAGAGCACCGAGCTCAGGTGCTGCGCAAGAATGGCAGCTCGCGCTTCAGAACACCTGCAGCAGCTTTACTTCAAGGATCCTGTGTATGTAGTAAAAAAATATTTACTAACACAGGAAAATGTTTGTAACACATTCCTAAGTGGTCAAAGCAGACTATGAAGCAGTATTTATAATATGAAACCATTTACTGGAAAAGAAATGTGTGTGTCTGTTAGTGTAGAAAAATAAATAACACTGCTTGCACACCTGCTAGGTGCCGAGCTCTGTTCTATGCGTTTTGCAAATGTTGCCTCATTTAATCCTCTCCAGACCCTATGAGATAGTGGAACTGTTACTGTCTGCATTTTACGGGTGAGAAAAAACAGGTTCGATGAGATTAAGTAGTTTGTCCAAATTGCGCCCAACCAAGGGTGCTCAGGGTAACATTTGAATCCAGAACATCTAGTCTCAGCACCTGCACACCTCTAAATGCTATGCTCCTTGAAAGAATGTCTACCAAAATGTTCACGGTGGTTATCTTTGGGTTAGCTCAGAGATTATCAAGTTTTCTGCATTGAACATATATTTATTTTATTACTAGAAAAATGTTCTGTATCAACATGAATGGAGTGAAATTATTAAGTAGTCTGTCATGGCCTTGTTGGGCCAAGATACCATTAAACTCAGTCTGTTCGGAGGCTTTGTTTAACCCAGCTTAAAAATTTCAGCATATTGGCTGAATTTCAGAAACCAATAAATCTGTAGCACTTGAAACATTGGCAGTCACATTTCAAGGGCTAAAATACTCCCTTTTGGAAACGCCTCCATTTTTTAGCTGCTTATGGTCAGAATCCTATTATAGTGACCACTCAGAGAGTGAGAGGGCTGGGGCTCTCTCCCAGAGCCATCCAGGGGCCATG